TCTACCTCAGTGAGGAATCATTAGATTGTGAGATTGTGAGTGCCAAGTCATCTGAAATGAATATCCTCATCCCCCAAGATGGTGATTATGTAAGTGAGATATTTTAAAGCTTTCCTCCCCCTTCCCCACCAGTCTTGGTAGTTAACAGCACTTAAAATGCTAGGAAATAGACTAATACACTACACATACCACATCACCAAATAATTATCTAACACAGTTGAATTTCTATGTACAGCTATCTCAGCTATCAGTGCAGGAAGAACTCCTCATTTTCTGGGGCATAAAGAAATTTCAAAGATCAGACATGATGTTCTTTATTTCCATTTTGATAGCTAATGCCTCCATCTCCTGTCCATTTAATTTTCTTTTTTGACATCTAATTTCCCAAAGAAACTCAATTCACACAAGAGCAGTCAAACCTGAAGGTGATGATGCTAAGATAACAAAGATAAATATAATACTACTACAGATTAAATAATACAATATACTTTTTTCTTTTTCCAGAGCTGTTGGTAGATGGCTAGCTTCTGTAGTACATCTTAGTATTTTTAACATACATCCTTAAAAGACACTTAAACACGTGCATTTTCCTGGCTCCTTTTCTGTTCTAATAAGATTTTCATACTATGCCCACTGGCAGTTCTAGTAAAGTCCTGCTCTGTCACTTCACACACTTGCAAGGGATCATGCAGGCAGAGGACACTTGTAATAGTTTCCTAGTTACCTCAATAGAGCAGTGTTGAAATTGCACTGAATTGCCATAGACAGAATTTAAATTTCTCCTTACTCTTTTGGGATGGAATTTTGTTTGGTAAAGGGGTTTAAGCTTTATAAAAGAAGACACGTATCAGAGAATTCTCACGCTCTGCATTTCCAAAAGTGACAGCTGGATGCCAGCTTCAGATAACTAAAAAGGGAATGATTTTCAGTGGGTGTATATTCACCTATTTCTTAAAAAAAAGTCCTTTTGACCAGTCTCACCTCAAATCACCATAACATTTGAAATTATTACCTATGGAAACACCTATTTGAGGTCTGAATTAAAAATAATACCCTTCTCTTCACATTGTTTTTTGTTTACTGGGAACAGAGAAAGACCCAACAACATCTCCCATCCTTTCACCAAATACACGGAATAGAAGGAGATTTTCTTAGATGTTCTGCTTCTGTTTGTGTACTCCACAAGGGATGCTGAATCTTTCAAAGTGTATAACACTTAAAATGATAGTTTATGTGTGTGTGTTATTTTATTCTTCCATATTGTAATATTGCTTTCATCCTTAAAATTAGATTCCTCACTAAATGTCCATATCTAAATCCTTCCTACTGTCTTCCAAACCAGCCACTGACGGAATCTAAAGTCATTTCTGAGGCTTATTTACTTAGTTGTTCGAAATAATGGTGTGAAAGGGATTATTGCAAAGTAGTACCCTAGCGAGGCTATTTGAAACTGGGTAGCAATAAGGCTTTTTTCCTGTGTGGCATTGTAAAATAGCTTCCTAGGGTAATGAAGAAAGCTTCTCTCTAATCCTGGCATGTCTGAGCTATCAATGCTTTCTCAGTCATGTAGCACTAATAGTATTCTGCCAGTTTTCATGAGGTATCCACTGTTTATTTAACCACCATTGTTGCTTTTGTTTCTTACCAGAAAGAATTTCCGGTTCCTGAACAGTTCAAGACAGCATGGGATGGATCTAAGTTGGTCACTGAACCTGCAGAGATTGTGGGTTAACTTTCCAATGCCATACAGCACTTGCTGACCGTGACCAGACCACAGCCAGCATGAACAAAGCAGTAATGTAAAGAACTAGAAATTAGCAGTAGCTCATACTGCTGTGATAGGCCTTCAAGCGTTAGCTCTGCATGCTAGAAACAATAACACATCTGGCACCCTTTTGTTAAGCATCCCAGTACTCTTCACGTTTCCACAGTTTGCATACATTTTTAATTCTCCATGATTTCATGTGAATGTAATAGACTAAAACCCCCACCCTCCAGTCATATCATTGGTTTGAAACACTGTATGCATTAAGCCAAAATACTGCATGATACACTTTGTTATCATCTTGCTTCAGTGCATTCCTTTTCATGTTTCTGCTAATCAAAAACATCATGAAGGCTTTAAGATGTTTATTTTTACCTATGAAGCAATTTCTGTATGATGCAGTAAAAATGCACCCCTAGAAAGTACGCAGTTCCTTGTAGTTCTGTGGCAATCATAATGGGGTTTGTTTTAAACAAGCAAAAAAAGGACAACTTTCAGCAATACATTTTGCTAATGGAAGATGAAAGAAAATCTGGTATTTTAATCAAACACTTTTCTAATACAGATATTTAGAAGATCCCTATGTGAAGTAAGATTATTATGGTCCACACAAACTTGCTGTTGCCTTCTCATTTCTTGCAAATTAGTAATTCTTTTTAACCTAAAACCTCATTTAAGCTAAAACCTCGTTTAAGCTAAAACCTCATTTAAGCTAAAACTTTGCAGCAAATCTCTTGAAGATTTTTTGCTCCTTGGATTTTTTTTTTAATTTTTTTTTGTGAGACAGTCTCTCATTCTTTAAAATTTCACACTGTATCTTGCATCCTATTCAGAAGCCTGAGGGAGGCGTCTATGTCAGGTACCAGCTAGTTTCCTTCTTAACAACATTGCTTTCAAATACTGCTCTTGTAGCTCATATTCATTTAAAATATCTTCCTGTTTATTCCTGTCTTTTGTAGGACTTTCTCAATTTCAAATATGCCCACAAAGCAAAGCCATACATTTATGTTGTACTAATTCTGAGCCCACATAAAGGGGTAATTTCCTCGTTAGCCCTTTGATGCTACTTTATAGTCCCTATTAGAGATGCTTTTTTAACAAAGGTGAGTGTTGTATACATTTGTACTATTTCAGCACATAGTATGAATAAAATTTTAACTATTTTAAAAGTCAGCTTATGTTTTTGATCACTAGTAATACTTTGTACCAGTGAGATGCTTGCAGAGCTAGTTACAAGCTAAATTTTGTGCCTAATTTACCTTGAAAAGTACGTTAATTCTTGAAGGGTTTTAAGTATATCTTTGATTGTAAACCCTATACAATGCAACTAGTAGTGCTCATTCTGTAAGGTTTTGCTATCATCTAATGTTTAATCTATGTGTATAATGTGTTTGCTTTAATACATACCATTTTTTCAACAGTAAACTTCTTATAAAATAAAAAGGAAAATGTACTTGTTTAAATACAAAGTTGTTCAGAGCTTGCTTCATTGCAGTGTTTGTCCTATCTGCTTCTTCCTTAAATGCTGTTTCAAAAGCTTGATTGAGGAAAACATAGCTCCTTCTCCCACTTCATTAAACATTTATCACTTTTGCTGCCATAAACCACCTGATGAACAGTGGGTATTCTGTACGCTAGCAGATAAACTTGAAGTTTTGTGCATATAACTTTGGTGACAGCCAGAGAATTGAGCTTTTTATGATTCTCACTTTTAGGTACACCTGTATCTTCCAAAGATTATGTCTAGGGAGATGATCTTTAAGGTGAATGTTTATAAAGTTAGCCTTCTATTTTTAGCTTTTCCCATTGTTTCCTTATATGGCTTTGGATGTGTCCCTCCTGTGTTAACAAACCACGAGTGATCAGCTCCCTATTTCACTTGGATGTGCTTCATATCTGAAAAATGGGCATCGCATACTTGTCATGATAAAATGATTATTGAAGGATTTTTTAATCCTTAAATCATCATCTGTTCTGTAAAATAATCTCATTCTGGAACACTCTGACCTGAAATCCTGACTTGTTTTGATGCAGCATCAAATAGGCATCAAGTCATTATGCATTAACAGGAAGGAAGCCACTTAATGCTTTGGAGGTGTGATGCAAAACAAGTGTCAAATGCTTGATGATAAACAGAAAACAGCAAGACAGTCATCAATCATTACATGGGCAGGTGATTTTAGTTCCTCATAGGGATTCAACTCCTCCCTCAACACCAGTGTGAAGGCCACTCTGAATCTTCTTTCAGATGTTTGAAAACAAACTCCCTTGTGGCTAGACATTCTCTCTACCACTCATGTTCCTGCAACATGCAAGACCCACATGCAATTTTTGACTGGTTTCTTTACAGGAAGAAGTCTTATGCAGTAACAGTGTGTGTCTGACAGTCTGAACACACCTGAGAACTTTTGTCAGAGGGCAGAGGTTTAAAAGATAAGGAAGAAGGCCTTGCAGGGCCAGACCCAAGGTAATTGCTTCAAGCGGAGAAAAGGCTAAGGTTAACAAGTCCATGTATTACTGGTCACCAGAAAAACAGGAAAGAGACTTTTAAAATATACAAATAGCTTTTATCCAGTATTTTTAGTCAGCCACATGACAAAAAATAATCTGTAACTAGCTGTCCATCACCCAGTAAAATACATGTAAAAGAGATTATTAAGTGTCCGAATGTGAAAAGCTTTTTCTGTTTTTCCTATGAAAAGCTTCAACAGATCTCATACTTTCTTAAATAGAACCTCTGTAAAAGTACTCATGAGTTACTCTCTACAAGTACCTCATGAATTTCAACAAGGGAAACTGCAAAGGCCTGCACCTGGGTAACAACAGCCCCATGCACCAGTGCATGCTGAAAGCTGTCCAGCTGAAGAGCAGCTCGGCAGAAAAAGACCTGAGAGTTGTGGTGGACACCAAGTTGAACATGAGCCAGTGATACGCACCTGTGGCAAGGAAGGCTGATTGTGTCCTGGGCTGCATAAGGAGAAGCACTGCCAGTAGGTCAAGGGAGGTGATCATTTCCTTCTACTCAACATCACTGAGGCCACATCTGGAGTGCTGTGTTCAGATCTGGGCTCCGCAGTACAAGAGAGACACGGAGATACTGAAGAGGGTCCAAGTGGAGGGCCATGATGATCAAGGGACTGGACCATCTCTCCTATGAGGAAAGGCTGAAATTGCTGGGGCTGTTCAGCCTGGAGAAGAAAAGGCTCAGGGGAGATCTGTTAATATGTATAAATACCTGAATGGAGAGTGCAAAGAGGACAGAGGCAGGCTCTTCCCAGTGGTGCCCAGTGACAGGACCAGAAGGACAAACTGAAATACAGAAGGTTCCCTTTGAACACCAGGAAACACTTTTTCACTGTGCAAGTAACCAAACACTGGCACGGGCTGCCCAGAGAGCTGGTGGAATCTCCCTCCTTGGAGACATTCAGAAGCTGTCTGGACATGGTCCAGGGCAACTTGCTGCTTGAGCAGAGGGCCTGGACAGACCAGATGACATCCAGAGGTCCCTGCCAACACTCTCTGTGATTCTGTGATCTTGCTTAGTTATTCAGAATATTGGTTACTAAGAATTAGTGGGAATTTGAAGTATTGAGGTAGTGACTCCATGTAGCCACGAGATGGCAGAAACCAGCTGAGACCCAGGCTCTCGCAAATCCTTACTGCTAAAAAACAAATGCTGGACTACCGTCTTTACACAGGACATGTATACTGTTAGTCAAAAAAATGTGAATTCTACTCTCTAAAAGTCACTATAAAACATTTAAGGATTACTTTGATTTTGAAAATACCATCTTGGTAAAGGAACAGGTTTGATTATGGTGAACAAGGAAGAAAGAAAACAATTATTTGTCACCAATGATTCATTTGATCTTTTGGTTTTTTGAACACTGCTGAACATGTTGATTAAAAGCACATTTAAAAAAAAATACGTGATTGAATTTAAAAGTAATATTTAACAGAGCTATTGAAGAAAAAGGAGTAAATAATTTCAAGCCTGTAGTTGAAAATCAGAAATCTTTTCAGGGTCCTAGAGCATTAAAAACTTGCTAAGGCTTCCCAGTATCATAGTTATTATCCAGACAAACCATTCTTGTTCTTACTCTCTTCTGAGTCCTCAGTATATCTCCATGAGTTCCTTCAGTGTTACTGTACTATGCGCATATTCATAAACCTGTGCATCACGTTTCTTTCCCAGAGATCAAGCATTAGTCCATTTGGAATCCTATTCAATACGCACCTTGAGTGCACTCTCCTGATGCACTGTTTAGCTGGGCTCCTTCTAAAATGTGGAAGCAGCTGCCCCTGGACAAATGGAGGCAATGTTCACTCAACTGCATGGTATGCCAAGAAGCAGAGCAGTTATCAAGAGCATACAAGACAGATTCTGTTCCCCTGCTGAAGGTGATATGAGCCCACTGCCATGAAAATATTACCCAGAAGTAGCTACTGTCCTCAGAAGGTGCCTATAAACAGGCTCCTGACATACAAAGCAGTCATCAGATAAAAATTGCAAATAACTCTCCCCAGGGAACACACTGACTACCAGAAAACAAGAACCTGCTGCTTCTTTATGGTTTAAACAATCCTGAAAAATCTTTTTGGGCACCAAATTTTTGTAGAAGAACAGAGAACCATACAATCACAGAAGAAGAGAATGGATTGGACTGGAAAGGACCTTAAGATCATCTAGTTCCAACCTCCCTGCCATGGGCAGGGATGCTTCACTCTAGACCTTATCACCCAAGGCTCTGTCCAACCTGGCCTTGAACACTGCCAGGGATGGAGCATTTACCACCTCCTTGGGCAACCCATTCCAGTGCCTCACCACCCTCACAGTAAATGCTCCCTACGCCACCAGCCAAAACTCAGGAGTGATCTTCTAGACTTAACCCTGCTTCCCTAAGTCTTGCTGCATGCCAAGGACCCTACCTGACCACCACTGACCACCAAAGACTTTCCTTCTCAAAAACCCTAGTCCCTGTGCTGCTTTAACAGAGACACACTCATATTTTCTCTTGGGGAACACTGAAGAATGTGATGGGGAGTCCAGTAATTGGTAAGGCTTCTGAGTGCCACACTCTTGAGGAAAGCTCTTTTCTAGTTACTCTTCATTCAAACCAGGTCAAGGTAAAAGGCAGATAAAGGTATCTACACACAACTCCCAAACCAGACAGTACTAGTAAACAGGCAACCACACTAAAATTCTATGTACCCTGCTCTTACCTTAAAGTGGAATAGTTCCTTTTTTTTCCTCCTGCTGATTTGCTATGGTCTGTTGATCAACTGTGACTACTAGGGCTCTTTTTTTCTGTCTGTATTACACTTAAAGTTGACATTAGAAAGAAAATGTGTTTCGGTAGACCTTTTAGAGACAGTCTCTCTTTCAAACTCCTTGGATGGATGAGACAGATCAGTTTCAGAGTGAAAGGCTAAATTTCATTTTGGGAGAGAGTTGTGCCATTTTTCTACATTGAAATACATTATGTTTTACTTTATATGTATGTAAAAGCATACATTTGGAGGTTTTGGCTCAAGTTTCATGTTCTGTACCTGGCTTCTTGCCCCAACAAGGGGTAAAGTTCTCACTCTTTGGTGACCCAGTCTGTATGTTTCATTAATGAAGAACCTCTTTAACCAACATTTGCATTTAGTTTCCCTCTGTACATGAACATACTTTACACACTTACATGGATACAAAAGTCTAAGTAGCATGAATATATGTAGGCTGCTGAGCACAACAATGATTAACCACTTTGAAATGATAAGAGGCAGCTGTTGATGAATGTCCAACAACTCTCATCCGAGGTCTCTTTAAAAGCACTCCTATTATTAGAACACTTCAGCATGATGCAGGAAATGTGATCTACATCCCCCAAGCAAAGGAAGGAATTGAATTTCAGTTTCATCCAGATGAATGCTTCACCTGTTCCTTGGTGTTAACATTTTATTGTTTAAAACCCTGCCACAAAAACAAGCAGCTAGAATGTGTATAAAAATGAGCTAAGATACATCTCTGTAGCCCTAAACACCACCTTGATTTACAGCAGACACGGATTCTACTACTTCCTAGTGACAACAAGAGATTCCCTGCTCAGGAGTGACAGATTTTCAGCATTACCTGTATTTAAAGAGCTTAAGATGGGATTCCAGATTCCCCTTAAACCATAACTATTGCAGTATCATCTTTTAGGTGCTTACCTCCCTCTTTTGATCTAGTTCAAAATATTTCCTCTTGCCTAAATCTCATTTCCAAAAAAGAGGTTGAATTTTCATCAACTGGTACAATGAACTACCTAAGATTATTTCCCTTTCTGACTTTGCTCGCAAGAGAAAGCAAACTAAAGTAGGGAGACGTAGGTGCTACAGAACACTAAGTATTCCCATAATTTGTGTGGCAACCTGACACAGCAACGAAATAAGACCTCTGAAAAGCTTATGTGAGTTCCCCATCTCTGGCAAGCCCTGTGGTTACAGCATCTGATACTATTAGATGCATCCCAGAACAGAATAATCTGAAAGCTTGCAGAATTTGTGAGTGTTTTGTGGATTATTTTTTTAAGGCAGAAGAACGAAAACCTAATGAACTGAAATATCTGGGTGTGAGGAAATACTACATTGTCTCAGCTACTTCTTAACTCCCTTGCTCCCTGTTGTCAGTGACTCCATTTCACCTGGAGTACAAGTGAAATGAACAGTGAGTTCTAACGGGTTATGCCTATTTAATGCTGCTGCTGACCCCAAAATTTACCTGTGACTGGCAACATTATATGAAGCCTGTGAAATCTTGCAATTGTACCTGGAGAAAAAAAGAAAAGCCTGACACTATTTGGTCCTGAAGGGTTTGTTGTGAAAACCTAATTAAAAAAAAAAATAAAAATAAATAGACTGTAGATGATGAAGGAAGAAGTGAAATAGTATAATGAAAAAAGCTCTGTTACATTACTTTTACTGTCAGTTTTCCAAGCTAGTTTTTCTACTAGGAGTTAATAGCTGCCTTAAGATCATGTTTTCTTCTACACACCTGTCTACCTTCCTTTTTTGATTCTTCATTGTTCTTCCTAACCATGCTAAAACTTCCTATGCTTCCCATTTACCCATTTTGATTTCACTGAGGCCTATGTTACAAAACACATGCTAGTGTAATTAGAACCATTTCTAACATAATGCATGCCAGTACCTAATGTAACTGCACTTAATTAAGATGGCAAGGGTTATTTGCCAAGCCTTTGTCAGTTCACCTTGTCTCTGTGGGAGACTCACTGTTTAGAAACTACTTCAGTTTTCAAATGAGATAGGGTTATATGGGAAAATAATATATTTTAATTTAATCTAACAGGGAGAGGGAGAAATTTTTGGGGGTTTTCAGCTTTGCTGATGACACCAAGCTGTGTCACCAAGCAGTGTTGTTCGGTTGATACGCTGGAGGGAAGGAATGCCAGTCAGAGGGACCTCGACACGCTTGTGAGGTGGGGTGATGCCAACCTTATGAAGTTTAACCATGCCAAGTGCAAGGTCCAACACCTGGGTCGGAGCAATCCCAGGCACAGCTACAGGTTGGGCAGAGAAGAGATTCAGAGCAGCCCTGCGGAGAAGGACTTGGGGGTGATGATTGATGAGAAAATGAACATAAGCTGGCAGTGTGCGCTTGCAGCCCAGAAAGCCAACCATATCCTGGGTTGCATCAAAAGGAGTGTGACCAGCAGGTCGAAGGAGGTGATCCTGCCCCTCTACTCTGCTGAGACCTCACTTGGAGTATTGTGTACAGTTCTAGTGTCCTCAACATAAAAGGACATGGAACTGTTGGAACAAGTCCAGAGGAGGGCCATGAGGATGACCAGGGGACTGGAGCACCTCCCGTATAAAGACAGGCTGAGAAAGTTGGTGCTGTTCAGTCTGGAGAAGAGAAGGCTGCGTGGAGACCTCATAGCAGCCTTCCAGTATCTGAAAGGGGCCTATAGGGATGCTGGGGAGGGACTCTTCATTAGGGACTGTAGTGACAGGACAAGGGGTAACGGGTTAAAACTTAAACAGGGGAAGTTTAGATTGGATATAAGGAGGAAATTCTTTCCTGTTAGGGTAGTGAGGCACTGGAATAGGTTGCCCAATGAATGCTCCATCCCTGGTGTTGTTCAAGACCAGGTTGGACGAGGCCTTGGGTGATACAGTTTAGCGTGAGGTGTCCCTGCCCATGGCAGGGGAGTTGGAACTAGATGATCTTAAGGTCCTTTCCAACCCTAAGTATTCTATGATTCTATGATTCTAAAAGTGGGAAATACTCCATTTTTACTGTATATACTAGTTTGTTCAGTATGAAGCTATGTTAACATCTGTGTTATATGGAACTTGTGTCAGGTTAAGGTGCTTTATAGTACACTGGGAACTTTAAATATTAAAAATTAATTTAGAGAACTGTGTTTAAACTTGCTGTAGGGCTCCTTGTTCTTTCTTCAGCATTTTTGCACAGGAAGAACATGAATGTGGTAAGGGGAAAGATGAAAAAAGGGAAATGGGAAAGAGCAACATTTAAACAAATATAACGGTAGAAGTACACAAGAGAAGTTTAACACCTTTTCTCTCTCCAAGCAATTTCAACCCACTTTCTATTAGCAAAGAGAAAGTGTCTGGAAAGTTGCCAGAGGTCAGAAACCACAGCTGCAATCACAGGTGGCAGTAAGTGGAAGGACGGATACTTTTGCCCAGCTGCACATGCTCAGAAACATAGAATCACAGACTGGTTTGGGTTGGAAAGGACCTTAAAAGATCATCCACTTCCAACCCCCTGCCATGTGCAAGGACACCTTTCACTAGACCAGGTTGCTCAAAGCCCTGTCCAACCTGGCCTTGAACACTGCCAGGGATGGGGCAGCCACAGCTCCTCTGGGCAACCTGTGCCAGGGCCTCATCACTCTCACAGGAAAGAATGCATTCAATGCCTAACTTCTCACTTAGGCTTATCAACTCCCCTACCACAGCCTATTAAGCGTAATCTATCTGTCATCTGGGCCAAATGCAGCAGGCGGCTGGAGGGAGAGACAGACGCTGTGAAGAAGTACTTTCACAACGGCTGTCCGGTTGCGGAACCAGGGCTAGCGCAAAGGACCGCGTACTCCTGGGGACAGCTGGGGCCCGCAGGGCCGCTCCTGCTGAGCGGATCCCAGCTCCTCGCCGCAGCGGCTGAGGGAAAAACGGGGTGCGGGGAGTCATGCTGTTTCTGCTAAGGAAAAAACTACATGCCTTCAGTAGTACAGCACCGACAGAGACACCTCGCTCGGGCGGCATACCCACTCCGCCTCAACGGCTGCTTTTTACCTCACCAGCGACTGGAGCCGTCCCCGGCAGGCCTCAACGCTAGGCGATACCACCTCAACGGGTGGGGGAGGAAGCCGCAGTGGCGGCAGAGGGGGGGCTGTTGGGGAGTGGTGCGCTCCCGAGGGAGTCCGCTCCTGTCCATGCACTTCCTCTCCCCCCTCTCCCCCCAGCGTTAAGTGGGACAGGCGAGGCGTCTCCTTAGCGCATGCGCAGTGAGTGCAGTTCCTTAGTGTCAGCCGGGATGGAGGAGATGGCGGAGCCTGGTTCGGCTCGCACCGGCGCTGGGGCGGCGGCGCTGGCGGAGAGCGACAGCGAGAGGAGAGACGGCGCTGCTGCCGGAGGGGAAGCTGCCACCGCATCGTCACCGCCGTGCTCCCCTTCGGTGGCCGTTGGGGGCGAGGGCGGCGGGGCGAAGCCGCTAAGCGCGGAGGAGTACGCGCGGCGGGTGCACCAGTGGTTGTGGGACTCGTACTGTGGGTACCTCAGCTGGCAGAGCTGCCTGCCTGCCCTCCTCGCCGCCGCTTCCACCGCGCCCGCTGCCGGTCCCGCTCGTGTCGCTGCGCCGCCGCCCCCTGCTTCCCCGCTGCCGGGGGGCGCCGCCTACTACAGCCCCTTCTACTTCTTCTCTCCTGTGCCTGCCCACACGGCCACTGCCGCTCCGGGGCACCGAACTGCTGCTGCCGCCGCCGCCCCTGCTTGGCCGGGAGCGGCGGGCAGGTTGGCCCCCGTGCCCAGGGCGGCCTCCAGCAGCGCCGCCAGCACCAGCGGCGCCCCCGGGGATACGGGGCGGCCGGCAGGTGAGTGGGGGCCGGATCTGCGTCGCTTCGCGCGGGGAGGAAGGGAGCGGCCGGCCTGGGCCTAAACACCCGTGGGAAGGCGGCCCTGGACCCCGGTTTTTCGCCGCCCGGCCGGCGCGGTAGGCCGGGTCCTGGGGGCGCAGTTGCTCGTCTCCTTCCTTTTCTCCCGTCCTGTGGTGCCGGCTCGCCCCACC